TGAAAGGCTGTGCTAAAGTGTAAATGCCACAAGTGGCATGGATGCAGGATCTGTGTAAATTGGAGTTACTGGCAAGCGAGCACAGAGTGTGTGATGGTGATTGATACCGGTGTGTGTGGTGAGGGTGGTAACTCACTGGTGGAGTATCCTCAGTTCTATTAAATTTACTGCTGGCGGCAGAATCCTCCAGCAGTGAAATAGGAAATTGCAAATGCCTAAATTCCTTTTAATACTATATAGTATAGCATGTACCTTTGTACCTTTCAGGGAGATGTGCCCTCACATGCTCTGTGGTTACCCAGAAAAGGAGATGAGAGGTATGTACCCAACAGTCATACATACAGCAATAAAAGGGCCTTACCTATTCCATCAATAAAGTCTAGAGATCCACTTAATCTAAACTGCCATAGAGCCCAGTCAGGGATTTACATTCTGTACAAAGCCCTCTAACTGTATCATATAAAGAAATCTTACCTCTTGTTTTATGGAGGGTGCTGCTATCACCTTGAATTCTGATGGATCACAGTCCTTACTCTCAGAAGTTAGTCCAAATTCTCCTTTATCTGTGGCGGGCGTTTTGCTAACTTTCTTAGCAGCAGTCTAACATGCAAAGAAAGTTAAAGGCAATACAATTAGAACAAGTCCATCAGTTGTATGTGAAAACCAATCACTTTTATTATTATAATGTATCATTTGTATAGTGCCAATAGTGTGCACAGTGCTTTAGAATATAAAGGGAAAGAGAACAGTTACAATAGAATTCAAGACAAGAGGGTTAGGAGGTACAGTAGCTGCCTTTGAGAGCTTATGAGCTTACAATCTGCAATCATTATGACAGATTATTACAGCATTAAAGCAGGCCTAGTATCAGATACAAGAACACAACAAGCCTGCTGTTTAACCAGTTGACATCCGCGGTGTTAAACCCCCTTCCCATTCGGCGGCTATAGAGCCGCTGATCGGTTGTATGTGAAACAGCCGTTAACGGCTGTAGTAACAAGCGGGTCTTTCCTGCCTGGGGGCGCGCGCGAGCAGGAAAAAAATGACGTCTGGCTACGGCAACCCGCAGATAGGAGTCAGCCGTCCGTCCGTTTTTTATTAACGGGCAGACGGCAAGAGTTTAAAGAGGCCAACAGCTTAAATTTCAAACAATTGAATGAGTCAGAGAAATGACTTATTCATCCCCAACATTTGTATTATCTGTTCAAAGGGCTGTTCAGTGTTTCAGTTTGAGAAAGACATTCTGAAAGCAAACAGCATTTGCTTTGCACTCTCTTGGAAATCCATAATATCCCATGAAATCTGCGCCATAGGTGTATCATCTACTAAAAGTTTATTTATAAAATAAAAAAGATTTTATATGAAAAGAACAGAGAGTGTTTCTGTTTCATTACTGTTCTCTTAGCAGGCTGTGGGTAGTGAGGTGACACCGCCATTTTCTTTAACTCCCTCCTGACTGTGCTGTCTGGCAGGGATGATATTAATTACAAAAAGATGCTGGAAAGAATGACATGTCCTTTGGCAGACAAAGAAGTTCACATTTGTGCACTTTCTCTAAGTATTTAAATGTTTGTCTGACATTCAGCATCAGAAAAATAAAACGCTATAGTTTTCCTTTTAGCGTCAGTCAAAGCTACACCTGTAGGTGTGGAAATGTAATCTCTGTTCACACTAGCTGGGTTAATTAAACGGCATGTATGGTTCCTGCGTAATAGTTTCTATGAAATCCCAAAGAATAATGATAATGAACAACTTTTTGGTGGCTGAAATTGTGACGGACCGCCTGGTACCCCGACTGGGTACCTCCGTCAGAAATCAGCTTCCTCTCCGCTGGAACCTGAATTCCAGTGTCCTCAGCCCAAACCTGCCTAATTATTGGACGGAACCAATATATTAGGACAGAAAGCTAAACTCCTCAATCATCAGACAACACCAATGTTGAAGTGGAAACCAAGAACACGAGTTAGATCTACACCTCAATACACACAGCTCACTCCCCAGTATCCATGTCACGAGTTAGATTGAGTTAGAGCTACCCACCCATACACACAGCTCACTCCCATTTATCCATGTCATCAGTGTACCATGGATTAGAGCTGCAACAATTATTAAGTCAATTAAAATCGACGATGCAAAACCTTGTCAACGTTTTCCATCGCCGATTCGTCGGCTCCTCCTCACAGGATCAGATAAGAGTTCAGAGTGTTGAGCAGTTCCCGCCCCTAGACAGCCATGGGCCGCATTGGAATTCCTTAAGCACAGACACTCTTTGAAATGAATGTCCTTAATTAGATACGAGTTTGATCATCCTAACCAATGGCCACTCCAGACAGCCTGCTGCCTATAATGAACACAGGGACACTTGAATATAATGTCAGGGGAAACATGCAGTATTTTCAGTATAAAGAAGTAAAGCCCAAAAAAGGTTTGGCTTTATTGTTTTTAGTAGAAACCAGTACTGAAGGAATATGGAAGCTGTTGTTGCTGACCTCACTTTCTAAAATAAATCAATAATGGCTTCCCCCATATCTCACCACACTTTGCTTTAAAGGCAGATGACAATGCCCAATCTTACAAGCAGACAGCACAACTCCCACACAAAGATATGTATACTGTTTTGTATTACAGGCCAAATCAGGGGCAAAACAAGAAGTCTAAGTGGTATATCAATCAGCCGCACTGTGTCGAGCTGCTAGAAATTATATTCTATAGTCCCAGTGACATTCCACATACACAACTGTGTCTACAGATTACCATATTACACTAATGATGACAACATAACTCACCTTCCGTGGTTTAGGGGCAGCCGCAGTCTTTGCTTTTGCTGCAGGTTTCTTGGTGGGTTCTTTAGGTTTCCTTGCTTGTCTTTTTGCTGGAAGGGCCTTTGCTTCTGGCATCCATTCTTCCTCATCTTCATGGGAATCATCATCTGTATCTGACCTAATTAGAGGAACATCAAGTAAGACTTAGCGTTGCACGCATCGAACTTTCAAAACTATACATAGCAAACTACTAATTTGGCTATTCGCTACTTATTAGACCTTTCTGCTGCTTTTGACACTGTTGACCACCTGCCCTTCCTAAAAAAACTCCACTTGCTTGGCCTACAAGACTCTGCTCTCTCATGGTTCTCCTCCTACCTAGCTATGCGCTCCTTTAGTGTCACCTACAAATCTAACTCCTCTTCATGTAGGGTCCCCCAAGGCTCTGTCCTTGGATCCCTCCTCTTCTCTATCTACACCACCTCCCTTGGTCAGTTAATAACCTCACATAGTTTCCAAAACCATCTCTATGCCGATGACCAGGGCTTGAAAAATCCACTCGTCCACTCGTCTGTGACGAAAGGGCGGTGGAGCCCGACGAGCAGCTTCCAGGCTGGCCGTTGTAATTACACGGCCGGCCGGGAGCTTTACAGTCAAGCGATCGGCGTCTCTATAGAGAGACGCTGTGCCCGATGCGGCCGGGAGCAGCACGGCTCTGTGACAGGAGATCAAAGGGAGTTCAGTGTACGAACTCCCATTGATCTCCTCTCAGTCCCCGAATGCAGGAAGTAATGTACATTACATCACTTCCTGCACTCAGCGTCACTCTACAGCTAGAGAAGCTGATGAAGCCGATTTCTGCTTCATCAGCTTCTCTGGGGGTCCCTAGGTGACATTAGGGGTCTTCGATACCCCTGATGTCTCCATAAAGAGGACCTGTCATGTAAATTGGCTATCCCATAGGGGGCTTCTTAGCCCCCCCCCCCTGTAATAGCAATAAAGCTGTGTGTAAAAAAAAAAAAAAATTAAAGAATCATAAAAAAATATAAAGAAGCAAAAAAAATGTTAAAAAAGAAAACATTTTTTTTAAGTCCCCGCCCCCCACATACACACACAGATATGCGCCGGGTGCGCCTATGCGCGAAGATGATTGCGCCTATTGTGCCGCACATGTTACATATCACTGCAAAAGTTGCGAGTGAGAGCAATAATTTTAGAGCCATTAAGGCCGGGTTCACACCTGGGCGTTTTACAGCGCTGATCGACGCGCTGTAAAACGCCCAGCAAGTGAAATCCCATTATTTCCTATGGGCTTGGTTCCCACCTGGGCGTATTTCAGCGCGTCGGAACGCGCTGAAACAGTAGAAAGGTATCATGGCAAAGGAACGCGCTGAAAAACGCCCTACGCCCAAAGAAGTACAGGAGCTGCTTTGGGGCGTATTTCCGTGCGTATCCATTAGGATACAGCCGGATAGCCTTCGCAAACGCGCGTTTGATGCGCGTTTCGTGGAAAGCAAATCGGGGTAAAAACGCGCCACCCGAAACGCGCGTCATACGTGCATATTTCCATCACCTAGGTGGAAACCCAGCCTAAAGGAGAACTATGAGGTGAGTGCTTTTCCCTCACCTCATAGTTCTAGCCGACCTGTGACAATGAGACTGTCACAGGTCGGTTCAGTAGATTGGGAAGTGAGCGAGCAGTTTTTTTTTTTTTACATTTATGGTACTTTTTTCATTATATAGTAAAAAAAATAACCCCCCCTCGTGGTGATTATATACCTCTATAAAGCTCTATCTGTCCCCAAAAAATGTTAACATAAATTGCAAGGCTATAGTCCGGTCATGCTGACTGGTGAAATTTTCGACTGACTGGTGAGACACCATCAAATTTTTCAAGCCCTGCCGATGACACTCAAATATATCTTTCCACTCCACAACTCACCCCCTCAGTGTCCTTGCGTGTCACTAATCTACTAACTGACGTATCCGTCTGGATGTCACAACACTTCTTAAGACTTAAACTTTCAAAAACTGAGCTTATGATATTTCCTCCCCCCGTGCACCTTCCCCAACTTTTCCCTTGAGATTGATAACACAACTATCCAACCCTCACCCCCATGACAAGGTGCGGGGCGTCATTCTTGTCTCGGACCTCACCTTTCTTCCCCATATTCAATCCAATTATCTACTATTATCTATTGTACTGCTGTAATCAGTCAGTAATAGATTGTTATATCAGTGAGCTACTGCTACAGGGAGAATCTAGACAGAGATGCTCCATCTTTGCCCGAGCCTCCAGTTTAACAGAAAGTTCTGTGATGTCATTTCACCGTGATGCAAACACAGTGTAGAAGCAATGTTTTGCGCATTGTGTTTACACTGGCTGTTGCTAGTGCTCCTATAGAGTGTTCGGGAGCAGGAGCTGGAAGTTGATTGATTCAGCTTTTGGGCTTAGAGCTGCGCCGCAGCTGTCACTGACAGCCAGAGGTTCCAGTGCTAAAGCCCACCGCTGTCACTCAGCGTGCAGCCTGCTGTGCTCCGGACCTGATGCTGGTTGCTGTCTGGCAGCCCACCTGCTACTTACAGGTGAAACTCGATTAGAATATCGTGCAAAAGTAATTGCAATAAGTGCTGCAAAAGGGGCCCAAACCAAGTACTGAGTACATATGCATGCTTGTACTTTTCAGAGGTCCGATATTGTTCTATGTACAATCCTTGTTTTATTGATTGCATGTAATATTCTACTTTTTTGAGGTTGTGGATTTGGGGTTCTTGGGGTTTTTTTATGAGCTGTAAGCCATAATCATCACAATTATGACAAATCACGGCTTGAATTATCTTGCTTTGCATGTAATGAGTCTATCTCATATATTAGTTTCACCTTTTAAGTTGCATTAGTGAAATAAATGAACTTTGCACGATATTCTAATTATTCGAGTTTCACCTGTATAGGACAAAATGGGGTTAGGACCTCTACAAGGATTTCACCGCTGTGTCTCCACTGGCACATTTTCCCCCGCTTCCTCTCCAGGTGACAGGTGTCTGAAGGAAGAAGTAGAGATACCATCTCCTCTACGAGGATGATTAAAAGACAGTTTCGTTACATCAACTACTGAAAATCTGCTTTACATCCACATGCAGCAAATACTCACATCCCACTCAGGAAAGACAGCTCCAGCTTAGGTGCAGCTACAGTCTTTCTCGTTCTTTTAGGTAACTCAGACATCTACGATACAAACAGAGCAGATATTGATTTATAGGTCGGTCATAATGAAAATAGAAAACTCTTGACATTTCTTACATTATAAGCTATACTATGCAGAAGAGGTGAAAGGATACAAGGCAAGGAATCTTCATGGGGAACATACAACACACATCATAAACAGACCGGCCAGGAATGCCAAAGACTGCTCACTGCAAACAATTACTATCATAATGGAGTCTTATCATTCATATAGGACAATACAACATTCAGAAGAAGAGAGATCCAGGAAAACAGCTCATACTGTACATGCATTGTTTTACCTGTTTAATTCTGTGCAGTCCATCTTGTCACTTGCACACATCTACAACACTGCACAGCCAGCAGATGACACACTTTGATCCAGGAAGCAGTAAAGGGACCTTTCTGGCTGTGTAGTGGCTGAACAGAGTAGATAATAAACACATATTGGTATTTTACACTGGGCATTTAGCAGTTTTCCTGGAGCAATCAGCTTTAATAGCAAGGTCCTTCTAAGCTCATATTTTAGTTTCTGGGTGATTCCCAAATGTTTCTATCACCCACTGGTTACTTATAACTCTCAGTGACCTCCTACTACCTGCTATAAGCATATTCATCCTATCTTGCTCATTGAAGGGACCCTGTCATGTGAGAATCACGAAGGCTGCCATTACTGCCCTTTTACCTAATTCTGGGTTGCACTCAATTCACACAGTCTCCCGCCCAGTGAATCCAGTGATGTCCCCGTGATCTGTGTTCCTCTGATCCACGCGACCGTCTTCATCCCTAACATCATTGGGAGCCAGCTGTCTCTTCTGGGTTCAGGTATGCAAACCAAAATAAAAAAGGGGGGAGAGTTTTTCATGTTGTGGAAGGAGGGTTTAATTGGAGCAAAGTTTTGGTTTCAGGGTGAAGGTCTGCTTTAAGTCAGACACAACCAGGCATATGGCAATGGCAGCCCTCATATATTCCTCATGACAGTGTCACTTTAAAGCTGACCTATACATTAATAACCACCCTTCCAAATTCTGACCTTTCCCCTCCCCAAGTTCTTGCTTCAAGATGGTGGCGTGGGAACTGCGCCTGCAAGGAAGACAAAATTGGACTCCACGGAATAGTATAGTATATATATTTACTTTCATAAAAGGGACAACTATTAGGGATTTAAAATGTCATGCCATGTAGGGTGAAATTCCGCTTTAAGTATGTTTTTTTGGGGGGTGAAATCATCTAACATTTTATGAAATCATCTAACATTTTAAAGTTGCCATAAGGATATTAGTGGAGAGTGGAAAACCTCCCAAAGTGGACAAATATTCAGGTGATTGTCCAACATGGAAATTCCCCTCACTTTGGGGAGATTGTCTCTCATTTCCTGTTGTGTTTCTGGCACAGGAAGTGCAGGGAAATCTCCCCAGCAGGACAAAGACAGCAAAAAAATAACCGAATAGGGGTTTTAGCATTTCCCTCCTCTACCTAAAACTAAAATAAAATACACTTTGAAAGAAACACTATACTGCTTAAAAGAATCTTTTCATGAGAAAAATGTGGAAGTCACACTGCAGATGTCTGATTCAGGAAATTGATGGAGGTGCCCTCCGCACACCTTTCAGCAGTCCCGGCCAACAATCAAATAAATGGTGCTCGAAGTAACTTCACGGATGGCACCGTGCAAAACACAAGATTGAAGAAAATAGGTCACCAGCACTCCATAAGTTAAAATGAATGAGTCCTTTTAATGGACAATGATGTCACAGAAATCTGTGACATCATTGTCCATTAAAAGGACTCATTCATTTTAACTTATGGAGTGCTGGTGACCTATTTTCTTCAATCTTGTGATTCAGGAAATGTCTGGATCTCATGCCCACCGGTCTAATTTACTGGCCTGGAACAAGTATGCCCACCAGCAGCCAAAGTCAGGAGTCCTCAACTGCATATTTTTTCCACACTAAAACCACTAAAGCCAGAGAGCCAGGCAACAGGACTTCACCAATGACAGCTTTCACGTTTCTCTTGTGATCGGTTTGCTTTAAAATTACCATGGAGCATTGCCTCTGTAGACACTGACATCACTTCTATGCCCCTCCAAAGCATCTGAGCTCCATGATCAACATGAGGACTTTCTACATCAGGGGAAGGCAACCTTGACACAAATCCCTCAGGTCTCTGCCTCTGTGAGTCATGCCTGTGGCTGTCAGACTCTTGTAATACCTTGCGGGTCTTGTAATACCTTGCGGGTCTTGTAGTACCTTGCGGGTCTTGTAGTACCTTGCAGGTCTTGTAATACCTTGCGGGTCTTGTAGTACCACAACACCTGGCATGCCAAGGTGGCCTGCCCCTGCTCTACATCTAGGTCACATCTCTATATGTATGAATTAGGGATGCACTGATAACGATACTAGTATCGGTGCATAGTATTTGCGGGAATACTCGTACTTGCCCAAATGCTCCGATACCTATCCAGATACTTCAGCTTCCGGTATCAGGAAGCCGTGCAGCAAATCATTACATGCTGCCCGGCTTCCTGATTGGCCCGTGAAGCCGGCTCCATGCTCCCTCGTCACTTGTGACAAGGGAGCTGGCTTCCCAGCCAATCAGGAAGCCGAGCAGAGCGTTATTACACGCCCCCCGGCTTTCTGATTGGCCAGAAAGTCGGCTTCATGCTTCCTCGTCACCTGATCAGAAAGCCGGGCGCCGTGTAATGACTTCTCGACCAAGCAGGAAGCCGGGCATCGCATAATTACACGGCTCCCAGCTTCCTTATTGGCCAGAAAGCCGGCTCCGTGCTCCCTCGTCACCTGGTGATGAGGGAGCATGGAGATGGCTTCCCTGCTAATCGGTAAGCTGGGTGGCGAGTAATTACACGCCACCTGGCTCCCCTAATGGGACTTCTGGTATCAATATTGGCGAGTAACGAAAAAATATAACATTACTCGATATCGAAAAAAAACGGTATCAGTGCATCCCTAGCATGAATCATGACAAGGAGCGATTAAAGCAGCAGATTTATATAAACTGGATTGCAGGCTGTACCGGATTGAGCCTAAGGCTTTATATACACATCCTTTATGGTCCAGGCAGCGCATCCTTGAGGCCACCCAGCCTGTACAAAGCAATGACAAGCGCCGCAGCTGACCACCACTGTCACATAAATCCACACATCCAGTGGTTACCTGCGGCCAGGAAAAGATGCCCCAGATGGAATCTTTCTATATCCAGGACCAGAAATCTGTTCCTGGCCACAGGTAACCATTGGATGTGTGGATACATGTGAACAAAGGCGGACAGCTGTGGCTACTGTCAGCCTGTCATTTCTTTGTACAGACTAAAGGTGGCCATACACTGTACAACCATCGCAAGACCTTAGTCTTGCGATGGTTGTAAAGTGATAAAAAAAACGTACGATCTGCCCATCTTGGACAGGCAGATCGCACTCTCGATCACTGACCGCAATGCTGAACGGGCAGTATGCGCGTGCACACACCGGCCCGTTCGGCATTTGTCTCCCAAGCACCATTCAAACCAGCCGAAAATCGTACGATTCTCGGCTGGTTTTCTAGCATGCTCCTTAGAAAAAAGACGTGCGACCGTACAGTAGAAACGGTCGCACGTCTTCGTTCACACTGTTCGATTCTCGTACGATCGCGGGATTTCCCACCATTCTCGTACGAGAATCGAGCAGTGTATGGGCACCTTTAGTGGCCTTAGCTCATTGCATCCCCCAGTATCAAGCATCCAGTGTGCAGATCCTAAAGGACGTGTGAATGAGGCCTAATTCATCCAGGCTGGAGTTCTATTATTTAGCAGCATCACATACAGGAGGATAATGGATACCATGGAGAATTTTAGGGTAACTTCCAAAAAATGAGCGCAGAGGCGAGCAACTGGGACTGAGCACACCGGATCATCTATAGAAATCAATGGTCAATCACGGAAATTATAACATTGACTTGTGAAGTGAGGCGGTGAATGTAACGCCGTCTGTTTTATATACTCAGTGAATTGTACTGCACCCTATGAAGACCAAAGACATTTAGGGCTCCTGTGCATTGTGTCATTTTTAATTCATTGCAGAATGGGCAGCATTTTTTCTGATGCACAGTGCATGGTAGTTGCTGTGCATTATGGTCTTCTGCAACACATGTGGGTCAAAGCTGCCTTAGTACATTGGGGAACCATTTAAAATGAATGGCACCGCAACATGCTAACACATAAAACATGCGTTGCAGTGACAAGCATGTGAAAAGGTGTGTTTCAGGCCTAAGGTGACCATCAGGCAAATCTAACAAGCTTTATAAAAGCAGCAAATCTTCTGTCAGACATCCAGCAGCAAATCAATTATTTATAAATACCCCCCTACATGCAAAGAAAGACCACCAAGAAATCCCGGGACATCCTCCAGCGCAGGGGCTTTCCGTCTGACAGCTCTGCTGGTCATACACACATCAATGTGATTGATCAATCAATGATTGCACTTCCCAATAGATTAACAATCTTTATCAACCAAATTGAAGACAAAAAAGGGATTCCAACTGATGGCAATCACGTGATTTTGCAATTGCAACTTTTACATTTCTGATTTATATTTTAAATACATTTTGAAATAGCAACCAATCAAATGACCAATTCACTTTGAAATAAGCCTTTGTCTGAGGCACCTAATTGATAAACTGAACGGTCAACCACAGCAAATAGAAATCAATGTGTGTATGGCCTGCATAACACTGTGTAGAATGGAGATGCCTCCAGCTGCTGAGGAAGAAGCCCCCTTCCCCCCTTCATGATGTACAGATCCCCTCTTCCTCTAATATGATGTGCAGTATAGTATACAGGTCCTTCCCCAGTATAATGTACAAATGTCCCCCCAGTATTATGTACAGATCCCCTCCCAGTATGGTGTACAGGTACCCCCAATATAATATACAGATCTCCCCCAGTATAATGTACAGATCCCCCCCAAAATAATATACAGATCTCCCCCCTCCCCCCAGTTTAATGTACAGATCTCTCCCAGTATAATGTACAGCTCCTCCAATATTGTGTACAAGTCCCCCACCAAGACAACGTACAGGTCCCCCCAGTATAATGCACAGATCTCCCCCCGTATTATGTACAGATCTCTGAGCCCCGGGCCCGGCAGACATGGCTCCCCCGATCACTGCCAGTCTGCCACTATACACAGACTGCACCCCACTCTCAGGCTACACACACCTCTCTGTGTTCAGCTCCCTCCCGAAGCTTCAATCTTCCTGCGCTCTCCGGCCCCGCCCCCTGCTCTACGGGCTGCTCCGAGGACCAAACATCACAGCCTGCCAGATCCTTCCCGGACGTCTTTCTCATTTGTCACATCGCTGCATGGAAACGTCTCATAAACGTGTATTTCCGCTGGCGATTCAGAAAACGGTTCTCCGAGCAATATGAGCTCTGCTTGTTGAAGTGATTTTACACCCACCAACTCTCCCTCATCTGGAATCTAACTCCTATGTCCCTCTCCTCAGATGTCTGTTTGGCCTGAAGTACAGATATCTGTGAAAATGTTATATTTCAAATATTATATTACAATCATAAATTGTTTTATAATATTGTTATTAAATTATTTTATATTAAACAATTTGTGATTGTCATAAGAGGTGTCCCCAAGCCGGGTGTCCCCCGCTGCGATGTCAACATGCATGTGTGTGACGTCATTACGCCACGCATGCTTATCATGCATTTAGCTGCCTGTGGGCATCTTTGTGATGGATTCTGGCAGAGGGCGGAGGGGACGTTCATCCGGTGGGATAAGGTAGGCCGCCGGGTCCCCTCCTCTCTTATACAGCTGTCTGGTCAGTTGGTCAGTCCATGACCGAGTGCCAGACTTTTCAGAGACGGGGGTGACACCAAAATGACTGTGAACCATTTTGGTGTCACCCTCTCTGAAGGTGTCACTCAGTGCAGCCCGCACCCTCCTTGTCATATAATATTTCGATGTTAGTAGATGTTCCACTGTTACTATGAGTTTTACTATATAATGTCTAATTTTGATGACGATTACCCATATTTTTGAAGTGTGTATTCTCCTTTTTTTTCTATGTTTTGTTTTGTGATTTCATGGATTGTTTATTAGGAACAGATGCTCCTAAGTGTTTCTCCCCACTCTATGTGGCATCCTATTTTAGTGGGGTTGTTGTTGGTTCGCAACCAGCTATGACTAAGGCCGAGTAAGGCAAAAATGCATCAGCAGTTGTTTTTTTTTGTGTGTGGAATAAAGTTTGAATTTCTTTGGAAGAGCATCGTGTGCTGGTTCTACAGTTTTTGACATAAATATTTATACCTGGAGTTCATCTTTAACTACCAGACGTGTTATTCTGCACTAAAAACAAAACAATGTCGGGTTTACCCAACCATAGCTGGCATATAAATTCTTAATGGCCCACAGAACTGGAGAAGTGCCAGGGGTGTGTCTATTGTCTAAATGTGCACAGGGCCGGATTTCCCACAAGGCCCGGCCTCAGGGCAGCAGGGGTGTGAAGTTCCTATCATGCCTCTGAATGCGCAATGACATCACGGCTGTGTGTCACCCGTTGGCTGCTCCGGGTGACACCACCCCTCGCGACGCCCCTGGCCACATCTCTTTTCAATAATGCCGCCTTCACCTTCGTAACATCGTCAAAAAACGCCCCTTTCTCACCAATGAAATCACAAAACTACTCATCCACTCCCTTGTTATCGTCTTGACTATTGCATCTCACTCCTCATTGGCCTACCTCTACACAGGCTATCCCCCCTTCAGTCTATCATGAATACTGCTTCTAGACTCATTCACCTTACCAACCGCTCAGTGCCTGCAACCCCGCTCTGCCAATCCATCCACTGGCTTCCATCCTCTACCCCCCTCTGCCAATCCCTGCACTGGCTTCCAATAGCCCAAAGGATAACATTCAAAATATTAACAACCATTTACAAAGCCATCCACAACTCTTCACCCGGATATATCTCAGACCTTGTCTCCAAGTATCACCCTAAACATCCCCTCTGCTCTTCCAAAGACCTCCTGCTTTCCGGCTCTCCCACCAGGACTTCTCTAGTGTCTCTCCCATCCTCTGGAACTCTTTACTCCAACCTGTCCGTCTATCTCCCACTATGACTGCCTTTAGGCAATCCCTCAAGACTCATCTCTTCAGGAAAGCCTATCCCACCTCAACCTAACCACTGAACTAACACTTTCTCAAACAATTCATCCCCACACAGCTACCTCCTCATGTATCACTTTCCCCTCCCTGTTAGATTGTAAGCCCTCAGGGGCAGGGCCCTCCTTACCATCTTGTCTTGAACTGTATTGTGATTGTAATGTCTTCCTTATATTGTAAAGCGCTGCGCAAACTGTTGGCGCTATATAAATCCTGTATAATAATAATACAAACCACCTGCCTGTTCACAATATTTTATAGAATATACACTGAGCTGCACATGCACAGCTCAGTGTAACATTCTCAGCACACCTCTGTGTTGGGATGAATGAACTCACATGCACGGGGCATACAGGGTTAGCAATACTTAGCACACAATGCCTGTTGCTGCTCCATTGTCATCACTGCCACCTTCTCCACCTTTTGGACCAATGTCTTTTTCTTTTGTTGTTGGGTGGCCATTGATGATGTAATGCTCATGCATGTGTGCTAAATTGACACTGTCCTGGCACTAGGCTAATCTTTCAATGCCAAGGATGTACGCTGCATATGCACCACAGGCAATATACAAAAAGGTAAAGGAGCTACAGTGTATTACAGCATCTTCTGGGTCCCTGCTATAGCCACTATGCTGAACAACTTCCCCGTGCTGTAAAAACACATAAAGACGCTTGCTGAGTATAGCAGCCATTCAGAGGACGCCTACTATTTTTTCAATGAATGCTAGGCATTCTCTGATTGCACAAGGGATGATGTCGTGACATCACTGTCCTTCATCCAATCAGAGAACATCCAGTAGGCTCCTCCCTGATAGTTGATGCACACTACTGCAATGGCATGGTCTGACTAAATCCTGATTGGTTGACCTTTCAGTCGGGGAATCCAGCATTGCAGGGAGAGCAAAATTGTCCAGAGCTCCCGAATGTTGGAATTCTTCTGACAACCAAGTCCTCTGCACCAACAAAGTGTCTAAGACTCTTCCTCCAGAGTTATTAGGTTGTTAGGATCATGCAAGGATTTTCCCATCTCCAGAACTGGATTCCGGAGCCATCAGACCAGAGATAACCTGGTTATCTAGGAACTGAACCGATTTGTCCCATAATGACAGAATGTTGTGTTGTAGAGGTCTAAAATGGAACTAAGCAAATGAAACTGCCTCAAAGGAGGCTGCCACTGGGAACTCTCATGCAGGATTGCAGAGCTGGAAGACTTTTGGGCTGTAACATTGGGAGAAGAGAGTTAGAAAGCAATATGTCAGTTCCATTGTATGAACGTTTTTAAGGTGTGGACTGGCCTCATCACATTGGATGTTGCACATATGTTCTGAGATCATCCAGGTATCCCACAATGGGAATGCCCTGGGAGCATAGTAAGACTTGTACATCAGCTAATACCTTGGTGAACATATAGAGGGTGTGGAGGACAGGATCCAAAATCTCGGATTCGGAATTTCGTCCTAACAGAAACTAAATTAGAAATTTACGATAATGACTTCAAAAAGAGGATTTCATAGCATGTGAAGATAAAAACAAAACATTACTTCATGTTCCTGTGCATGCACCGTCAATGTTTAAACGGATTTAAAAAAAATAAGAAAAGGATTTTAATCAATTATCGCAGGGCCTACAAATTTAGTATCACCATCTTTTTATTCTACCGGGCCTGCGCTTTCAGAAAATATATGGTTTGGGGGGTCTTTTACAAACGCTAGCAACGCAGCAGTTGAAAATCAAACCAATAGGAAAAAATTGCAGAAAATTCAAAAATGGCTTGGCCAGCTGATTTGAAAAATGTTCCAGAGGGCTTGGCAGCGAAAGGGTTAATAGTGAAGACTAGACCATAGCAACCACAAATGTCAACTGTGCCAATTCTGCTACGTACGTGCATACAAACATTCGTCCGTTCGCGCAAAACCCCAAAATTTGGAAATTTGCCCAAATTACTAATCCGAATTACGAATCCGATCCGAATTACGAATCCGAAACCCAAAACGAAACACATATAGGACACGATTTCGGAAAAACGAAATCCGAAAAGAAACTAAATTAAACAAATTTTTTGCGGCTGCACATGTCTACTTTTTAGTAGACGTTCATTCGTATTCGGACGAACCTGCAAATCAATGAAATCCAGTTGATTTGGCGGTTCGTCCGAATCCGAAATAACGAATGAATTATATGCCCCAATATACCAAAACTATTTTCAAGCATACATAAATGCGTTTGTAGAACGCCCGGCGGCCAACATACAGGCGCCGCCATCTTGGTGTATACTAAGATACACTCAAAGATGGCCGCCGCTCGTTCTGCATTTTCAGCGTGCGGTTTCGGATTCGGAGGCTCGTTGCCTCCGAATCCGAAACAGCAGAAAAATTTGTTTTCTTTGATTATACGAATGGAAATGTTTTCCGTTTCCACTCGTGTCAGAAAATGAATTTGTATGCCGTGCACATGTCTACTTTTCAGTCAGGCCCTGCAATCTTCAGTCCAGCAGGGATACGGCCTCCAAAGCATCTATGAGGAAACACTGACCTACATATCTGCATAGAAGCTGAGCTTGGCAGCAAAGAGATGAAGTCTTCAAAGAAGACTTGAAGGAGAACTATGAGGTGAGTGCTTTTCACTCACCTCATAGTTCTAGCCGACCTGTGACAATGAGACTGTCACAGGTCGGCTCAGTAGATCGGGAGGTGAGCGAACACATACCGGCGTTCGCTCACCTCTCAATCCCCGCTCACAGGTCGGCTCAGTAGATCGGGAGGTGAGCGAATACATACCGGTGTTCGCTCACCTCTGGATTCCCCCCTCTCCAATCCGCCAAAACGGACGGGGTGGGGGCGGGTACAGCTGGCTCTGCCTCTATATAGGCAAAGCCAGCTGTCACTCACGCAGCTGGGCAGATCCCAGCAAAGTAAAACCCAATTGTCTCCTCTAATGAGCAAAAAGGAAAAACGTTTTGGCTTTAATGGATAAATACTGAAGAAGAAGCTTACCTCAGTAAATCATCTTTTTTATTATTGTTTGCTGCCTCCTGTCCCCCCTCCCCCAGTTTTCTGTCTCA